AAAAAAAAAAAAAAGTTAGCTGGGCATCTATAGTTCAAGGCTGCAGTGAGCTATGATTGCACCATACACTCTGGCCAGGGTGACAGAGCAAGACCTTCTCTCAAAAATAAAAAAAGTAGGCTTGGCATCTGTAGCTCAGCAGCTAGGGCACCAGCCACATACACTGGAACTGGCCGGTTCAAACCTAGCCCGGGCCTGCCAAACAACAACTACAACCAAAAAATAGCAAGGCATTGTGGTGGGCACCTGTAGTCCTAGCTACTTGGGAGGCTGAAGCAAGAGAATCGCTTAAGCCCAAGAGTATGAGGTTGCTGTGAGCTGTGATGCCATGGCACTCTACTGAGACTCTATCTCAAACAAATAAATAAATATAAGCCCTGACAAGCATTGCGTTGGAAGTCTCAAGCTGGTGAGAGGAGAGGGGAGGCAGCCTATCCAGGGTCAGTAGTGCTCCTGTAGGAATTTGAGAACAAGTGCACTGTCAGTCCCTTTTAACAACTAACAGGTTTGGCTAGATGACTGAAAATCGAACATTTAGGCTGACGGTAAGACCACTTCCAATGAAAAGACAGGAATTAGTCTTCTATAGCTGCAGGTTTCACATTCATGGATTCAACCAGTTGTGAATTAGAAATACTCAAAAGAAAAAAGCTAATTAACAATACAATTAAAAAATACAGCATGGCAAATATTTACTTTGTATTAGGTATTATAGGTAATCTAGAAATGATTTAAAGTATACAAGAGGATGTGCTTAAGTTATATGTAAATATTATACCATTTTATATAAGGGATTTGAGCACATTCATGAATTTTGGTCTTTGAGGGGGTCCCAAAGCTAATCTCCTGCCCCACTGCAGTGTCTTTGGAGGAAGGGGGCCATCTGCAATAAATGGAATAAGGACTAACTAGGCTTTTCTATGTACAGAGATCTCTAGCAAAATGCTGGACTAGACCCCATCCACTGCTCACCTTCTCAGGACAAAATTCAGGATTGCTCTGACGCAATTTGCTGGGTCTGCCTTTGATAACAGCATAGCAAAACATGGTTATCACCATCACGAAGAGGAAATAACTGGTGTGCATGAGATGCAAATTTATTAATGAACGATCATCCTAAACAAAGAGAAAAAAACCAGAAACAATGCCTGCACTGAGTTACTGAAGGATTTGAATATTTAGTTTTGGAGACAGTATCCACACCCCCTAGACTTCCTTCAACTTTCAGTCTTAAGCTGAAAGAGGAGGTTTCTCCTCATCTCCTCAACTACCAAAGCTGGATTGCATCAAGTGAAGACACAGTGTTCCTGAACTATGTGTCTCTGTGGGAACCACCCACTCCTTCCTAAAGCTGTCCACTGTCCTTTGCCCCGGCTTCTGCACTCCCACACTGTCCAAACCCTCCACCCCCACTCTTCTTCCCTCAGAAGAAGAATGTCCTCAGATTACCCTCTGGTTCCATGGCTGACAGCCTGGCCTGCACTTCTAACTCCTGGTACACCTCCAGCAGGAAGGCCTCAGCACACCACTGCCCCAGGGGTGCGTCCCTCCTTCTGCTCTTCCCCACTTCTCTAAGTCCCTGGCTGAACATACTGTAGTCATCTCCATTCACTCGTCCCTGACCTCCCATACAATCAATCCCCAGGCCTGAGAACCCGGAAATGCTTCCATTCCTGTTCCTTCACACATCTCCACACCTCACAGCATCTGTGTTGGGCCCCATCCCGTTTACACATCAAGGGGCAGCCCAGTCTTCCCAACACTGTCTTACCAACCGCCTACAGCCCCAACACAGTAGTGACTGCCCTGCCTAAGGAGAAAGGCCAAATGCCTTGGCTGGCATGAAGGGTCTCTGGGACCTGGCTTTTGCCCACCACCCAGCCTGATCCCCACGGTTCACCTCTGTGGCCCTCTGGCCTATCAACTGCCTCAACTTCATAAATGAACTATGGAAAAGGGACATGGATGAGGCAAAAAAGAAGAGAAATCCAACATCGAGGCATTTTACAAACTACAGCAGTCTGTTAAAGTGGTCTCAGATCTCAGTGGCAGGCTAAGGGAGCATATCACCTGCTAGGAGAGATGAGGGTTTTCTCCTTTCCTCTGGGTTAAGTTACATCCCAGTCAGGGAGACTCATCTCCTTCTTCTACTACTTCTTTTTTTTTTTTCTTTCTTCTCTACTACTTACTTCTATCTTTCGGAATTCCACACAGCACTATCTACTGTTCATATCGACACTAACCAAATATTCTTCTATGGTTGCATGCATAAGTCTAAGACTGCATAAGTATCTCTTGTAACCCCCATGGGTTAGGCAAACAGCAGTTGCCCAATAAATAATTGCTGCTGCTGAACCAAACAGAAGATGAAGAAAACAACATTTTTCTTAACCAAAAGAGTGCCAAGTTTTTCTAAGACTTCACACGACTCCCCTAGTCTCGTTGGAAATCTAGAGGGTCAGGGTCTACCAGGTGTGGCCAACCTGTGGCCTTGAGTGCCACATGGGACCATGGGAGGGCTATTTGGCTTATCCGTGGTATCAGATATCATGAAAATTATGCATGGACCTGCTTTTTGCTCATCAGCTTTTGCCAGTGTTTGTGTATTTAATGTGTGACCCAGGACAACTCTTTTTCCAATGTGCAGAGACGTCAAAAGATTGGACACCCTGAAGCTAACCCAAGGGAGTAAACATGACCTATGCTAACAGTTCTCACACACATATGCACATGCACATACACGTACACGTGTAAACAATTTTTCTCACTTACATCTGGAACAATAACTGTAAGTTTGGGATTTAAAGCATGATAGACCTTCCCAATGGCCCCCTTATAACACCAGAAAGGATTGTAATCTTGAGCATATTTTGTGTTGGCATCTCTGGCAGTTGTGAAGATCTTGTACCAGAGCGTGGCATTGCTGTATGTGTCAGGAACACAGTGTGGTGGCTGTCTGCAAAAGAAGAGAGGGAAAGAAACATGCTCAGTGACCAGAGACATTTTCTTTCCTTTTTAAGATAGAATTTCATTCTGTTGCCCTTGGTAGAGTGCTGTAGTATCACAGCTCAGAGCAACCTCAAACTCGTGGGCTCAAGCAATTCTCTTACCTCAGCCTCCCAAGTAGCAAGGACTATAGGCACCTGCCACAACACCCAGCTATTTTTCAAGACGAGGTCTCTCTCTGCCTCGGGGTGGTCTCAAACCTGGGAGCTCAGGGCAATCCACCTGCCTCGGCCTCCCAGAGTGCTAGGATTACAGGAGTGAGCCACTGTGCCCGGCCCAGAGACATTTTCTTTTACCAGCACTACAGCACTTGGCACAACACCAAACATAGCAACACGTGTGGAAAGTGAAATAACAGGAGATACACATAACTCTGATGATGTTTCTTTGAGATAAATACCATTATATGTTTAGGAATCTTAAAAATACATAAACTCATAACAGTAAAAGAAATAGGGATCTGACATTTAGGAATCTGGGTGTTGGATTTTTGCCTTAGAAATTCAACCCACATTCTCTCACATATGACATGGCCAAAGGGGTCCCTAACTCCTTTTAAGCCTATATTCTCAAATTAAATCTAAATAATTTTTAGTTACAAATGGAAGCTTCATATACAAATTTCTGCATCAGGTATTTTTATTTATTTTTATTTTTTATTTATTTTTTGAGACAGAGCAGCAAGCTATCCTCCTGGGTAGAGTGTCATAACATGACAGCTCACAGCAACCTCCAACTCTTGGGCTCAAGCGAGTCTCCTGCCTCTGCCTCCCAAGTAGCTGGGACCATAGGCACCTGCCACAACGCCCAGCTATTTTTTTGGTTGCAGCCATCATTGTTTGGCGGGCCAGGCCGGATTTGAACCCACCATCTTACGTATATGTGGCTGGCGCCTTAGCCACTTGAGCCACAGGCACCGAGGCTTTTTTTTTTTTGAGACAGAGTCTCACTATGTTGCCCTTGGTAGAGTGCCATGGCATCACAGCTTATAGCAACTTCAAACTCTTGGGCTTAAGCGATTCTCTTGCTTCAGCCTCCCAAGTACTTGGGACTACAGGCACCCACCACAACGCCCAGCTATTTTTTTGTTGCAGTTGTTTTAGCTGGTCCAGGCCAGGTTCGAACCTGCTACCCTTGGTGTACGTGGCAGGCACCATAACCACTGCACTACAGGTGCCGAGCCATCTGCATCAGGTATTATAATACCAAATCATGTTTAACTTATCTGTTCTTGTCCTACAAACCTCCAAAAGTGTAAAAATAGATAAATCCCAGGATAATTCTTATTTAAAAAGGATTCACCACAGAATTCTTTTAAATAGGATATATCTTTTTTTTTTTTTTGAGACAGAGTTTTACTTTGTTGCCCTCAGTAGAATACTGTGCTATCATAGCTCACAGCAATCTCCAACTTTTAAGCTTAAGCAATCCTCTTGCCTCAGTTTTTCTATTTTTAGTAGAGCCGGGGTTTCACTCTTGCTCAGGCTGCCCTCGAACTCTAAGCTCAAGCAATCCATCCTTGGCCTCCCAGAGTGCTAGGATTACAGGTATGAGCCACTGTACCCGGCCTAGGATATATCTTATGTATTTCACAGATTTATTCTCTTTTACACAGAAAATCATTGTCTCTTTTACAGAGAAAGGAGAAACAAACAAAAAACAAACAAACAACAGCAACAAAAGAACCCTAAAGGCAAAGCAATAACACTGACTGCCACTGAAAAAACTGAAGCAAACATTGTAGAAACAATTGTTTACTGCAAAATAGGTTCCATTTATACTCCTGATTCTAAAACAAACTCTTTCTGGATAATGGAGATGAACAAAACCTTTATCTTTGAGAAGCTTGGCTGTAAGGTCAGTGTCTAACCTTGCTGAGCCCAGCTGTTCCTGTTCTACTCCTGTGGGAAAGGCAGCCCAAGAATATCCAATGGCAAGCAGATGCTTGGATTGCCTTGTTGAAGTACTAACTTTCTGACATTTATATGCAGAAATTAAACCTTTAAAATTCCAAATTAAATAATCCTTTACAGCTGTGGGGCTGCAGGCTGGAAAAAATTGTCTTCTATGAAACGGGTTGGTCCCTCCTATCACTTGTATCACTGCCTGAACTCTGCCTCCTTTCTGAACTCCCCCCTACAACCACCCTCACCATGAAAAAACTGTCTTCCATGAGACCATTCCCTGCTGCCAAAAAGGCTGGGGACTGCAGCTTTAAAGAGGTCTGAGTAGTGACAATTCTACAAAGAAATGCAACGTGAGCCATCCTGACAATTTACGTAGCCCAGACTGATGGCAAATGCAGCTTATCACACACATCCACTGGATGCTGTTAACACTTACACGGTGACAGGGAACACACCAGGGGTGGCTGTGAGGGTCATACAGGTTGTGAACACCACCTGCTCACAGTGACCATGAAGTGCACAGTCATCCGAGCTCCAAGCCGTAGGCAGGGTAAAAGTAATATTTATCTCTTCGTGGGCTTCTCTGCCTATGAAAGAGAAATCCTTTTTCGGTAAATAAAGGCAAGTTCATACATTTATTAGTCTCTGGCATTTGAATAAATTCTGAAATCACACCCACCCAGCAATCACCTATGACCCCAGATAGTGGGACTTTAGGAAGAACAGCCCTCATCTGGACAGTGAAGCCTGCTCAACTAGTAGAGCCACAAACTGACAGAGAAGGGCCAGACAGGCCTGGAGACCCTCAACAAGAGCCTCCCGAAGTGCCTGAGCTGGAAAGCCAGGCTGTGGGAATCATCAGCACTGTTTCAGCATTTGTATAGCACTCTTACTATTTTCAAACATCTTTCATATGCATTACTTCACTTAAAATTTGCCACCCTGCCATGGACATGACCAAAGATATGCTGCTGCTGTTTCCTTTTAAATATGAACAAACTGAGGATCAGACGGTTTAACAGACTTCAGATGGCACTGGTCAGGTGATGAAGCTTAAATTAAAGCCAAGGTGGTCAAATGTCACAACCGAAGAAAAAGGTCCACTTGCTGCATGGAAAAACTCAGAAGTCAACCATACCTTGACTACCAAGGGAATATTGTCACCTCTAATAGCCAATATGTGTAGTAGGCTGGCAAGCATTCACAAATTCTTTCAAGGATATATATACTGTATGTTATGTATTTATTTTACAGTAAGACCTCTGTAAGCTAACCACCCAAGGGACTGTAACAAACTGGTCAACATAAGGCACTAGACCTACTGTACCGATATGTACATGTGGTGCATGTCCAGTCTATGAAAATTAAGTCAACTTGAGGAGGTGGTCAACTACTGAGGTTCTACTATATTTATTTATATATTTATGTGTGTATGAATGAATGGATAAACAATACAGTCTCAGGTGGTGCCTGTGGCTCAAAAGGGTAGGGTGCTGGCCCCATATGCCGGAGGTGGCAGGTTCAAACCCAGCCCCGGCCGAAAAAAAAAAAAGAATACAGTCTCACACTACTGTCAGACCAGCATGTAGTGGCATCACCATAGTTCACTGTGACCCCAAACTCCTGGGTTCAATCAATCCTCCTGCCTCAGGCTGGTCAGATGGGACTACAGGTGTGTACCACCAAGTGGCTTAAGTTTTCAATTTTTTTGTAGGGGCAGGATCTTACTATGTTGCTCAGGCTGGTCCCAAAGTCCTGGCCTGAAGCAATTCAGGAACCTTGGCCTCCCAGAGTGCTAGGGTTACAGAAATGAGCCATTGTGCCAGCCATCCTTTAAGAACTTTAATAAAAGGTTTTTGGTAACCAAAGAATCAAAAGTTATTCTTCCAAGGCCTAGGCCTCCCATATGTTCCTAGTTAGTCCAACTTTCACTGCTTTCCTTTTATTTATTTATTTATTCATTTTTATTTTTTTTGAGACAGAGTCTCAAGCTGTCACTCTGGGTTGAGTGCCATGGCATCATAGCTCACAGCAACCTCCAACTCTTGGGCTCAAGTGATCTTCCTACCTCAGATTTTCTATTTTTAGTAGAGATAGGGTCCTGCTTTTGCTCACGCTGGTCTCGAACTCCTGAGCTTAAGCAATCTACCTGCCTCAGCCTCCGAAGAGTGCTAGGATTACAGGTGTGAGCCACCACGCCCAGCCTTTCACTGCTTTCTTATCCTTCTCCTAAGTCACATCCCACCACTGTATTTTTTTGTTACTGTTATTTTGTTTTTTGAGATAGGGTTGGTCTCACTGTATCGCCCATGCTAGAATGCAGTGCCATGATTATATCCTGTAGCCTTGAACTCCTGGGCTCAAGCAAAGCAAGACTCCTGCTTCAGCCTCTGGAGTAGCTGAGACTACAGGTACATAGTCTAAGTCTGAGTTAAAATTTAGTGTTTGTAAATATTAAGGCCAGAAATAGACTTTACAGTTTTTTCAGTTTCTTGAACTTATGTTATTGAAAGCTTTTACTGACCACTGAAAGTCAAGCACTTTGCTAAGGGAAGATGTCATAGAAATGGTTCCTTCTTGATTTTGTGTGATTGATATTCAACAAATGACACATGTACAAAAATAAAATACAGTATGATGAGTAAAAAATCATACATGGCTAATCCTCTGTCTGCCTTATAATAGTTGTTGCCTGAGAAGTCTGAAAAGATCATGGTTAACACTCACATACCTGAGAGTCCAATCTGATGCCCTAAGATGGTTGAGTACAGGTGAGTGACATTGCGAGAGTACCCTCCAAAGGGTTTGAGTGGATCCAGGGTTAGGGTGATTGCAACTGAGATATTAACTGGGCCTGAATCCTCCAGGGTCTGGGGGGACTGTGTGGATGCTCTGGCCTGCCCGCTGGTCATTGTGCTTTCTGGAGTTGTAGTGTCATTCATGAGATGCTTTAACGTTTCATTCTCTGATACGCAGAAGTCCAAATCATTAAACCGTAGCAGAAAAGTATTCCAATCCTTCCATAAAGTGAAATAAAGAGAAATGAGTGCAAGTAGTCTCAAAGTCTCCCGCAGCAGGAGTACAGTGATGAGTCTCAGTGTAACATCACATCACAACAGCAAACTACAATTCAGAGCTGATCATTTAAAATAATGACAACAGGGCAGTGCCTGTGGCTCAAGAGGGTGAGATGCCGGTCCCATATGCCAGAGGTGGCGGGTTCAAACCCAGCCCCCGCTAAAAACGAAAAAAAAAAAACCCAAAAATAAAATAATGACAACACAGCCACCACCTGCTTGTGTTGGTAGAACAATGTGACTTTCCTAATCATATTCATAATCTAAAATGTGAACTCTTTGTTGGCATGAGGTATTACATAAACTGTGAGATTAAACCAAGTTATTCAAGAAAATGTTTCTTTAGAAACATCAACATATTATACTTATAGAAAATGACCTAGCCTCAGAATCAGACTTGGAAAGAAAGCTTGAACAAAAAAGTAAGACATTAAAATAGAAGCATTAATCCCAACTCATTTAGTTGTGATAATTTTTTAAATGAGGCTATCTTAAAATAATTCCTCAAAACATCAATTCCATACATCTCGCTTTCTCTCTAGAATGCACAATAGTAAGAAATAGCAATACTCATTTGGTGCTTTTTGTCCCTTGTCATGGACTTCTGATGCCACTTTAGAGCAGGAACAATTTCAAAAGGAAGGGCACCAGGTATTTTCAGCCTTCTCTTAATATCTATATTAATGATTTAAATCATAAGCGAATTTCACAAACACATACAGCCTAATTAACTACCAATACCAATGAAGTACAGGGTCTATTTTAACTTTAGCAGAAACCCAAAGGTAAACTCATGCTAAAACAGCAACTACAAACCTAACCTAGTCTGTTACATATAACTTCTTTCTCCCAAGCAAGATTAGTTTAGAAAAATTGCCAACCAAGATACACTTCCAATTACTCTAACATTATGCTGATTAAAAATGCCATGTAAGCAATCCCCAAGCAGCCAAGCAAGTCTACCTTTACAAATCACCTTTAACTGTATTTGACATTTAATAAGATTGTGACGGGACCTATCAAATTACATTTTTCCTAACACTTACAAACTTCGCTGACTATTCCAGCACATTAGGATTGAAAATGAACACTTTAGTCTCAGCACTACATATCCCAAACATAAAGACACTGAGGTTCAGAGCAAATTAGGGACTGTCCGATTCTTGCTGAAGGTAGAATCAGCATTAAGTTCTGATTTACAGCATAAAACTTTTTTCATTCACCACTGCCTTCTGTACAACTTAGGTCCTTATTTTTTTTTTTTTTTTTTT